AGCTGGGATTACAGGCGCGCACCACCACGCCCGGCAAATTTTTTGTACTTTTTAGTAGAAACGGGGTTTCACCATATTGGCCAGGCTGGTCTTGAACTCCTGACCTAGTGATCCGCCCGCCTCAGCCTCCCAAAGTGCTGGGATTATAGGCATGAGCCACGGCGTCCGGCCTATTCTTATTCTTTAAACTCATATGATGCTCCTCATTCGTTTTATTTTACAAGCGAGGAAACTGAGGCCCAGAGAAGGGGAAGAACTTGCTGTGGGTCGGCACTTGCAGAACTCAGTTCTCCCAGGTACTCTCACCAATGGTGCCTAGAAACTCCAAAGCTCCTCCTGATTCCATACACAGCCATCCCAAAGGCACCCCAGGGCTCTTCCAGACAGTCTACCGGATGCCGGCTCTGCGCGGCTCTCAGTACCTGGGCCATGTCCAGGGCACCCATGACCGCCGCGAAGCTGAACATGTTGCCCATAGTTCCCCGCAGCTCTGCCGCCAGCTGAATGGTCTTGTGCAGCAGTGCTGCCCGCTCCTCCGCAGAGCCAGTGCAGCCCAGGATGTCCACGGCCAGCATGATGGACATGGTGTGGAACCTGTCAGAGCGGCGGGGTAAGAGGCGGCGGGCTCAGGGACAGCGGTGAGGGGTGCGGGCCTGGGGCGCTGCCTGCCGTTGGGCCGGGAGGGGCGGAGGGCAGAGCCAACGTGAGAGGTTGTAAGGGTCAATGGGATAAGGGGGCGGGGCCAGAGCTGTGGGTGAACAGGGAAATGTGTCACGCAGAGCAGTTTGTTTTTTGTTTTTGTTTGTTTGTTTTTTGAGACAGAGTCTCACTCGTCGCCCAGTCTGGAGTGCAATGGCTCGATCCCGGCTAACTGCAACCTCCGCTTCCTGGGCTTAAGCGATTTTCCTGCCTCAGCCTCAAGAGTAGCTGGGATTACAGGCGTGCGCCACCACGCCCAGCTAATTTTTGTATTTTTAGTAGAGACGGGTGTCACCATGTTG